CTCCCCCTTAAGTGCTTCGGCCTTTCCCTGGTGTGGAGACCAGGCAGGGTGGTGTCTGGGTTGCAGCCGGAACCGGGAGGAGGCTGCTTTGCCACCCAGCGTTCTTCATGCACCTGCCGCTTCAGGGCACGCTCCTGAGCATGGGTGATACCGGTGGAGGTGGATGGTCTTAAGGGACCCCTGTGAAAGGGTTGTTCGACCCCCAAAGGGGTCGCGACCCACAGGTTGAGAACCGCTGTCCTAGAGGAATGGCACCTTTTCACCTCTTTTTCAACCCAGCTAATTGGCAGTTGAGGATGCTCACTGCCACATCTCTTGATGTAAACCTGTTCTGCTATAAATCCTGTGCTTTGAACCCAGGAGTCTGTGGGATCTGTAAATTAAGTATATAAAGGTACAAATTGGCATCTTTTCTGTGGATCTGAAATGAAGTTTCCATCCAGTTCTCTTTCTTGTAGCAAAAAATGTCATCTAAACACGTAAGACCAATTTACCAGAAAGCAAGCAAATAAAATTGCTCTAGGCTTTAAAAATGTTTCCCTAACAGCAGAGGCTGTCATTGTCTCAAATACATTGTGATCCCACGCTGTTTTTCTTCTTCTTTGAATTACACCAATGGATTGTTTTAAAATGAATCTCAGTTAGGGCAAGACATTGTGTGGTGTTTCATTGAATTTCACCTGGTTAATAATCTCTGCTCTAGTGTCTTCCGGCATCTGGATAATATAATTCTGCACTTTGGGCACTAGAGGGTAGTAGATTATGTTGTTTCTGAGCCTATCTCTGTGTTCAAGAGAGATAATAGCATTCCTATTTAGTGTCCACCAGATGCTCAGCCTGCAAATCTCTGAATGGCGATTTGTGCGTTTTCATTGCAACGCGTAAAGTGCTTCATCTATTTTAAGTGCTGCTTTAATTAAGTGACTAAACAAAAATGAGAATAAAAGTCTGAGGTTCACGAGTGTCCCCAGTTCTTCTGAAGTTCCTTTATTGTAGTTGGCATAAAATAGATGTAGCGTTTGCCAAGGGAATCCTGTGGTTTATTAGTCCTTGATTTGCCCCCTAAATGTGATACATTTTGCTGTTGCTTCTTTCTTCTTTTTAATCTCTGCAGTTTATTGCATCTATTTCTGTTTCATATTCATACTTCTGTTTTTTATCCTGCAGCTCTTGGGAGCAGTTCAAAGCCTTGGGGCTTATTTCAAATAACTCCGTAAGACACGTACAGGTATTTTTGTTATCATTTCATATAATCCACCACCGCCCCTTAGATTTATTAGAAGTGTAATTTATTACAGCCTCCGCTTTGCTCAAATGCCCCCGTCAAACTGGGGATGCAGAGAAAACAAAAAGAGATGATGCTTTTGCAGCGTTTACATTTTCGGTGCACCCCAATGCCGTACTTGGATGGTCCAACTGGAAACATCCTTTTACTTGGATTCCTCAGAAGTAATATCCCCTCCCTGCCTCTTGGACCCTTTGAAAACACTCCTGATGCAATTTGTTCATTCATTCATTCATTGCATTTCTGTACCAGTTTAATCAGAGCTGACAATGGAAGTTTACAGCATGCAATTTACAGCATCCAATCCAACTCCAACCCAACCAAGACTAGAAATAGCACAGTATAGTTGTGTCTTCTGCCTGACTCCCAGCCTGGTGATGTTCCAGATCAAAGCTTTCCTCCCGAGGGGCAGGATGCCTGTTGAGAAGCCCCATTGGTTGTGTTTTCTGTTGAAGGGAGTGTGTATGTTCAGAGACATGGGATTTCCTTTTCCTTGCTTTCTATTTTGAGCGCAAGCTTTTGGAGTCAAGTAGCTCCCATATTTTGTAAGATTAATAAAAATAAACCAGAACTCCCATCAGATTACGGTGTCGGCCCACAGTTCAGTGGCCATGAAACTGTCCGTCTATCCTGGCCCTCAAGATTGCGATCCCCTTTGTGATGGAAACTCAGGGGTTAATTTGGAGAAACATGAGGACTATTATCAGTAAGCACCAAACACAACCGGGGCCAAGTGGCTTTCAAAAATCACACCCCAACATATTAAGAAAATGGCTCACTTATTAAATTGTGCTGGGCTTGAGGAAATCCTGTGAAGCTCCTCTCCTATTGGCCTTTATCACCCCACCCTTGGCCCAACTTCCCATAATTCCGCATCACTGTTGTACCTACACAGCAGTGCCTCCCATGTAGGAAGCTGAGCTGCCTTTGATGAGCGCACTGCACTGCCACGCGACACTCACAATGTCAGAATTGCCATAGTAACAACTCATTTCTTATTGACTAGGTGGATAAAAATTCACCCGAGTCGGGCGCAGCCATTTCTGGCAAATGGCCAGAGGCTGTCCCACAGGCCACCCGCTTCCCTCTGCCTGTTCTCTCCAGATATAAGGACAATTCCGTCTTCTGGTTTTAAATTTGATGAGTCTGCAAAACAAGCTGGAGCCCCTTTTGTGTGTCTCTTCGGAAAACTTTGTTCTGTTGGTGACTGCATGTTCCCCATTCAGCACTAAAATGAAGGCCAGGGATTTGAGTGCCATCTTTAATCATGGAAAGATCCCGGGGCTGACCTGGATTCAATGATTTTATGGACCCAATTGCCCCCTCCCCCAGCACCCCAGGAGGGTGGGAGACGCTGCCACAGCACCTGTTGCAATGTCCATATTGCCCCTTTCTGCTTTCAGGACCTGGGGCCGGCCTCCTCCAGGGAAATGCTGCCATTACCCCTGGAGAGGGACATGCAGGGGTAAAATTCAGCAGGTCCCAACAGGTTCTGGAGAACCGGTATTGGAAATTTTGAGTAGTTTGGGGAACCGGCAAAGGAGGTGGGGAGGGAATGGGAACTTTGCAGTATCCTTCCCTCAGGAATGAGGAGGGAATGGGGATTTTGCAGTATCCTTCCCGTGCCAGACCCACCATGCCACACCCACAGAATTGGTAGTAAAACCATTTCAATTTCACCACTGGGGACACATCTCACCCATCCCAGTATTCTGTACCAGATGCAGCTTCCAGATGCTTTTAAAGGGTAGCCCCAGGCAAAGCACATTGCAGTAATCCATACGACCAGGGCATGAGTGGCTAAGAGAAATAGCAATAGCAATAGCAGTTAGACTTATATACCGCTTCGTAGGGCTTTCAGCCCTCTCTAAGCGGTTTACAGAGTCAGCATATTGCCCCCAACAACAATCCGGGTCCTCATTTTACCCACCTCGGAAGGATGGAAGGCTGAGTCAACCCTGATCTGGTGAGATTTGAACAGCCGAACTGCAGAACTGCAGTCAGCTGAAGTAGCCTGCAGTGCTGCATTTAACCACTGTGCCACATCGGGCGTAATTGGTGCACCTCAATTATGAGTGACATGAACACAGCACTCTGGAAGAGCCCAGAGCTACGCGTGAATGAGAGATTTAGGTCGGTTGTTGGGACCCCAATGGCTGGAAATGGAGGAGGAGGAGGGTTGGTAGCCACCAAGTTTAGAGGTCAGGAGAACTTCTCTTCTCTTTTCTTAAGGTCAGTGGTTCTGCAGCCCGCCCCCCCTCAAATCAGAAGTAAGTTAGTGGAGGGGAAGAAGCCATGAAGATAAGTGCAGGGAGCAGAAATATCAACAAAGACAATGCCAGATAAACATTTCCTGAACAAATACAAATCTCTGGGTTTATTAAAAAACACTTCTCCTTTCTTTGTATTGAGAATTGTGCTCACAGTAACCTAAAAATACCAACATTCAGAAATAAAAGTGAAGAAATAATCATGTATACTATATCAAAACTGAATTGAGCAATAACAAAGACTTTGGACATGTCTTTCCCTGAAAATAATGACAAAGTTACTCTACGCATGCCGGCCTTTGATAAGCAATGCAACATTTGATTTCAAAGGCTGAAACTATTCGAAATAGAAACCATCCTGGGGGTGTTATCGCTTAGATCAGAGATCCCCAAACTTGGCAACTTTAAGACTTGTGGACTTCAACTCCCAGAATTCTCCAGAGCTGGCTGGATAATTCTGGGAGTTGAAGTCCACAAGTCTTAAAGTTGCCAAGTTTGGGGACCCCCTATTGAAAGACAAAATTCATGGCATGGTAGAGGATCAAGAGGGGATTGGCTGTGTTTCCATCAGAACTTTCCTGAAGATTTATTCTTGAGGGCAACATCTTGGTTGGGAGAACCTGAGTAGATCTCCCAACCATGTTGTCTTAGAGACAGGCCACACCCACCTGGAAAGGCCACGCCCACCTGGATTTTTCTTCCCTCCCCCAGAAAAATCCCACCGTACCTGGATCAGTGGAAGGTGGCCCATTGCTTTGTGGAAAAGAGGCAATGTAAAGGGGGTAGACACAGGTGAACTGGGACAAGGTTACATCAGATTCAATGCTAGTGTGAAATAAAATAGAACCAGGAAGAAAATGGCCTTTAATCACTAGAACAAACTGTAGCGTGACACAAGACTCTGAAACCCTTCTATGGCAAGCCACACCACCCTCAATCTATACGAGGAAAAGGTAATTGCAAAACTAGCCATAGTTGCATTCACTGAATACATAATGTGTCTGGCACAGACAGGAAGCCGGAAAATGCTCTTCCCATTTATTGGAACTTCTGCATTGGTCAAAGTTGAATTCTCAGACTAGATCAAGGGGACCTCCATTATGCCCCAGACGTAGACCTGAATTTCAGGTAAAGATTCTGCTATGGCAGGGCTCTGAACACAATCACGGAGTCTGCAAATGTCACACATTGAAACAAAACAAAAAGAAGAAGAACCTACAAAACTACCTCAGCTGAGTCCCATCAGATAGACAATGGATGAATACCATGAATACTGTGGATACCGTGTCAATCAACCTACCCAATCAATAGACTGGATGTTGTTCTATCTCAAATATCTCCCCTTTGCTGCTAGGATGGGACCCTTGTCTTCCAGTGGACAAACAGTCTTCTTGCCAAGGCCTTCCGGAGGGAAGGGCTGGTCCTGGGGCAGAAGAGACCTTCCCTCACAAGCACTCAGCTGAGTCTGGGAAGGTCTCCTCCAGGCCAGTAGAGTCGCCTCCGTCCAGCAGGCCATTGGATGGGAGGTTGATGGAGTTGGGCTCACAGGGGCAACAGGAAGTGACTCCTTTCTGGCTTTTTGCTCTGCGCTGGAGGGAGGCGTGGAAGTCGAGCGACAGCACCACAAGGCGGTACAGCTGCAACATCACGATCAAAATGTTCTTGGCCGCAAAAAACACAAGCATCTGGTTCACAACTTGGAAGTAGCCCATCAGGATCAGGCGCACCACAAGGAAAGGGCCATCTTGGATGAACAAACTGATGCCGATGTTCCACAGGTCGGCACTGTGTCTGCAGAGGAGCAGATGAAAAACTTTTGTGGATGAAGCTGCTCGATCACAGTTGAGATGTTGCACTAGAAGAAAGAAAGAAAGAAAGAAAGAAAGAAAGAAAGAAAGAAAGAAAGAAAGAAAGAAAGAAAGGGCGTTTCTTTCAGGAGGTTGAAACC